ATTTGTATGTACGGGAAGAAAACTGCACAACAAATAATTTGTTTGGATAAAAGGAAAAATTCCAGCCCAGGCCCATACGAGTTCACATTTCATTCGCTTACTTTGCTGCCACCTGCCTCTGCAAATGCTTCACCAGGAGAAGCAGGCGGGCACCGGAGGATGCGCTGGGTGGTGGGTCAAGGTTTCCAGGGCCCTGAGGATTCCCGGCTGTACTCACAAAGGGTCGCGTCTGGGGTGGGCTTCCAAGGCACCCAGAGGAAGCACCTGCCACAGCTAGCTGCCACCCAGGGAGACAGGATTCCTGTTCCTCAAAGCCTCCCATCCCTCACTACCCAAGGAAGCCAGGTGGACCCGTATGTGCTTCCTGCTGCTGTGTGACCTTGGCCAAGCCCCTTACCTCTCTGAGCCCAAATCACACTGAGATTAGAAGCATCTATTTCTGGGTTGAATCATTAAGTGAGAGAACCAAAGAAACCCACCCAGGACAATGAGGTACAGCAGGTGGAACCCCTCTTCCACACCGCCTTGCCCGAGCCCTAAGGTCACTCCCAATGCCCAGCCTCCGGCGGAGCCCAGGGCCACATCTCTGACAGACCACTGCCTATTCCTCAGTGCAGACAGCTAATAATTAGCTGTCACGACTTAATAATGGACATAATCCATACCACGATGCACATGGATTTAACTAATCTTAATTTAGAGGGAAAATAACAACTCCAAATAGATCAAATGCAACTTTTGAAAGACAACCTGCCAGTGGAGTTTATCTCCGTTTTCCAACACAAGCAAGTTATTGAGCTTCTCCCACTGGCCAAGCCAGTGTATTTTTTTTCACATTTATTTTATTTCTAAGTCTGAAGCCAGCATTCGCAGAGCAGCGTGACAATCCTGGGGCTCCTCTGAAACACTTTCCTGCAACACATCTTGCTCAGCAATGGGCCACTGGGACCCCCAAAGCAAACTCCGACTGTACCCCACCTGCTCTGAGAACCCCAGGCTCCTCCCGGCCCCTTCCCACAGACAGGCAGGGATGTGGCGGCAGGGCCAGTCTGCCGCCTGCTGTCACCTGCTACCTGTCTCCCCACTGCAGAAACTGACATTCGGGGTGTGGGGAGGGGGAGTCAAACCTATGAGTGGCAGCTGACAGCTAGTTCCTCCCTGGTGCTGCTTCTTTGGGTCATGGAAGGGGTGAAAACAGACAGGACCCACGAAACGGTGACCAGGCACATGCCCCCCAGTGGCTTCCAAATGGCAACTGAGGCGTCATCTGGAAGCAGTGACCTAGAGAGAGGTCCCAGATCGGTTTCCAGGTCTTGAGAAAAGCAAGCAAGCACCCCAGATGCCACCTAGCACGGCCCCTGCGTTCCTCAGCTTGGCTTTCTAGAAGTTTCCACGGCTCGGTCCTCCTCCTGCTTAACCCTGTGGAGGCTGGGTGTTTTTCATGCCTCTGCTCATTCAGTCCTCTGCAGAATGCTAAAAAGCAGGCACAGACCAGGAAACGGTGCAGGAAAGGGAAGCAACTGGCCTCGGCCACCAGCAGGAGAAGGGCGCTGGGATTCCACCCCAGAGACACCGAGACCCCAGCCCACCAGCGAATGCGACGGGAATGTGACAAGTCACGGAGGGCTGGACACGAGCCAGTCTGACATGTTCTGATGTCGTTTCTGAGAGTGGAATTCCAAGAACTCCATGGAAGTTTCTCCTCCACACTAACGCGGAGCCCCCATGCCAAAGAGACCTCCATTGGCCAAGCCTAGAAAGGGCACCAGAGCCGAGACAGTGAAGGAGAAGCTCACGTGTCCACCACAAGCCAGGCACACATCACAAAGCCCCGATCATCAGAGGTGCAGGCGAGGAAACTGAGGTTCAGGAGGCCAAGTCCCAGGCCGGCAGGGCGCTGCGTGGGATCACGCTGCATCCTTCCCCACAGCTGCACATGGCCTTCAAACCGCAACATTCCAAGCCCCTTCCTCCTCCAGCAGGGCCTGATGGAGACAGAGGCCGCAGGGAGGGATCTAGGAAGCGCACCCAAGGTCCTGTCAGACCTCCAGGCCCCACGCACAGCCTCTGGCCAGCTCCACCCTAGCCCCCAGGTTAGGCTGCCCAGGACCTCGGCCCATGCAGAGAACAGGGCGGCTGACAAAGCACAGGACAAAGTCAGGGCTGGCCCAGCTCACGCCGGGCCGAGCTCCCCACCAGGGACATCTTCACCCTCCCCTGGGGGATCTCATCTCAGGAGTCGGAGGGCCCAAGACAGGGAAGGGCCACAGGTGCTCAGCTGCTGAATGACTGAGCTAACAAATGAATGAGATGACCTCCAAGACACAAGAGCGGCAGAAACTTCTTCCTTCTACCTTCCTATTCCTCTGCACTCCTTCCATGCCCGCCTCCAGAACAACTGTCCCTAGGAAAGGGCTGCTATGGGATCCACAGCCTGGTGGGACAACTGACCAAATTCCAAACCTGTCTTCACCCTACAGACACACTGGAGACTGGGACAGAATTTCCACACATTTCCAGGCCAGCATTCCCATCCATTCCTGGAGCCCCTCCCCCGGCACCCACCCTCTAGGAGCCGCTGCTAGAGGAGAGGTGGGGACTGTCTGGGGAAACCGAGGATCACTGGCCCAGGGCAGGCGGGACCCTCCGACCAAGCCAGGTGGCCAAAGCCGGACACCCCCAAAGGAACGGTCACTTGCTTGCTGGCCAGCTGCTGGCTGGGGCCAGCAAAGCCACGGAGACAGCAGCGGGGCCTGGAGGGTCTGAGGAGCCCTGTGGAGCCATGGTGAGGAAGCTGGAGCTGAGGGTCCCAGCGAAGCCAGTGGTGGCAGGGGCATGGGCGACAGCTGTGTGGATTTCCGGAAGCCTGGGCAGAGAAGCACCCAAGACTTCTAGGCCCCTCTTAAAATATAAAGACTCAATTATCTTTGAGCAGCTTGCTTTACACATGAATTGACACATTTATTTTACAATAAATAACTGAAAGTTATCTGTGTTTCCTTTACTGTTAATCTACACAGAGAAATAATAAACAGGGCTTGTCTACAAAACAGCAAGGGCTGCAGTCCTCAGAATTCAATTAAGCTAAAATAATTAATGCTCCCACCATATTAAATTACTTTATACATTTGAGCCACTGAAGTTTTATTCTTTAATCTTTCCTTTTTTATTAAATTTTTTTAAAAAGACAAGAAAAGAAAAGTTGGTACCAAAGCAGGGAGGGAAACAGGAAAACTGGGCTAGAAAGGAAGCACATGACGGTTTGTTAAATGGAATGGTCGGCTGCAGCTGACACAGCATGTAGACTGTTTTGTGCCTTTGATTAAAATAACATTTTAAATGCTTTGAACAAACATATCTCCTTAGACTTCTAAGGGATTATTTTACATATTTCTTCAAGAATGAAGAAATCCATTCGTCTTGTTGCTGAACAGAAAGGCCAAGAATATCTTTCGTTACACATAAAATAAAAATACTGTAGGCTGCTATAATATTACTATCCAAAAAGAAAAAAGAAAAAAACAGAGGGCAGGAGGCAGCAAAAGGATGAGGACAAAGCTGCCCAGAGAACTAACTTTGCCTTTTATGAAATCACATTGAGTCACTTTCTTAAGCAAACCGCCCCTCGGTGACCCACACTGGCTGGGTGACCCATAGCCTCTCGCTGGGAAACACCTAAACGTGCAAAGAGGATGCAAGAGGACCAGGGCAAAAGCTGCAAGTCAGGCAATGAAACACAAAGGGCCTGACTGTCCTTGGCAGAGGCCACACCGAAAGGGGTCCGTGCACCCACCCCGGGCAGGGCGACATCTCTCGTGAATCAGGAAACACAGACAAGGGACCCCGTACCCTTCTCGCCTGCTGGCTTGGCCCTGCTGAGGGAAGTGTCGCACAGAGGTGCACATCTCAAGAAGCCAGTGGGGCCTCCCCACTGCCCAGCGTGCTACCCCATTAACCCCATGTACAGGTGGGCAAAGTGAGGCCCAGAGCCGCAGAGTGGTGGAGACGGGCGAGCTGCAGGACCCTGACTGCCTCGAAGGTGATGGGGATCCCCGCCCATGCCCATCTGTCTCCCCTCCCAGGAGCATCCAAAGCCTCAGTCCCCACCGGTACCCTTAACAGGTTCCACGGCCAGAACCCATGGAGATCTAGCCACACATTTTCCCAACCAGATACCTACGTGCCTGCTGCAGAGACAAAGGAGACCCTGGAGAGAAAAGTTCCACTGGCAAAGCTTTTATAGAATCCCTCCTGGGATTCACACTCCTCTTGACAAAAGGGGAAACTGAGGCTCGGGCTCACAGAATGCTTAGCCCAAAGTCAACCAGCAGGATTCAAACCCTCATCTGCATGAGCTCTGATGCCTCCCTTGCTCCAGGACAGGCTGCCATTTTTAGGGAACACAAGCAGGCCAGGGCTCCCTGGTTGCCCAAGCTGTCTGGGCTCAGAAGTATAAACCAGAAGCAAGCACTCAGGTTTGGGCAGAGCAGCAGCTCCCGGGGGTGGCGGGGAAGGTGAAGTCCCCGTGATAAGCACACTCTGCAGGGGACAAGGGGAGGCCCGCACCTGCTGAGCTCCATTTTGCAAACAGGGAAACTGACGCCACTAGACTGTAAAGAACAGATTCTAATACAAGTCTGTCTGGCTCCAAAGCCAGGACGGAGCAAGCGGATCCAAGATCACCAACAAAGAGAAGGCCAAGCAGACTTCCAAATTTCCATCCTGTGCCCCTCTGGGAGGAAGCCCCAAGATAGAATCCTCTTGGCCAAACCAAAGCACCTAGCAGAGCCCAGCTGGGCCTCTCCGAGCCCCAGGCCTGTCTCCTCCAGAGGGTCACCTGAACGGTGGGCCCTCAGAAAGGGGGAGGCCCAGCCAGTGCCCCAGAGGCCAGCCTGGAACCCCTCGGACCTGGACCTCCCCAGCACCAGTGCTGCCAGACCAAGGGTGCAGGGCCCGGGAGGTGGCTTCCACAGCAGCCAGGTGAGTGCAGTGTTCCATACCTGCAATGTTCTCCTGCTTGGGGCAGATGCCTTTCGTGGGTGAGAGCAGGTGGTCATCTTCGTCCGGGGTGACCTGGATTCCGATCTCTACCGGCTCGGACACTTTCCTGAGCTCAGAGCGCGAGGAGGGCGGCGGGCTGCCTTTGTCCAGGCCTTTGTCATAGCAGGCACCCAGGCTACCGCCACACTGCTTCTTCTTGTGCTCTATAAAAACCAGGATGTCCCCCAGGGGGAAGTTCATCTGACACTGGCCACAGGTGAGCAGGTCAGGGTCGGGGCCACCCACCATCAGCCCCAGGCCGCTGGGCTCCTCTATCTCCAGACCCTCGTCTTCCTCAAGGATGGCAGCCTCCACATGGTCAGCCTCTGCTGGAGACAGAAAGGAGACAGGGAGGGGCAGAGAAGACAGATGGGCTTAGGCGGTCACAAGCACCCGGCACGCCTTCCACCCCGTCCTTCCCCACCGAGAAGCAGGTGCCCTCCGCTGCCGGCCGCTGGACCTTAGCAGGTCCGCCCAGAATTGGCTCACGACAGACAAGCACACTGAGGCTGTAGGAGCAACAGCATGGCTCCCGGGAGTTAGCACTTCAGTAGAGCTGGTCTTAGTGCTTCCTAGTGTCCTTGCTACCAACATCCCCCCACACAGCATAAGAACACACGTACGTGTCCACATGCATCCTGGCTGCTCACAGTATCAGCTGACTTCGAAGAATCAGAGCATCACCTGGCATCTCCGAAAAACCCCAATGCCCAGGTAGCAGCACCCAGGATCAACTGCATTGGGAACCAAACGTGATCATTTTCCAAGATACTGTAGATGATCTCAGCGGGCAGCCCGGGCTGAGAACCAGTGAGCTAGAGCAGGTCACCCCCTCCCCCAGGCCTTCATTCAAGTTTCGTCCTCCCCATTCATGTCCATCCCACTCACATTCCTCTACCTGGCCCCTGGCCCCCACACTGGACTAGAAAACAGAAACCCAGACGGGTACGTCAAAGGGCCAGTATTCAGGGAGGGAAAAAAAAGCCCACATGCTCAGAAAGCAACAAGTGAGTGTCAGGTTCCAAAAAATATGGAAAGGAAAAACAAAGCCACAGAAGGAACTCAAAGTGGGCTTGCTTGCAGAGGGGAGCTGCTCTGGCTGCCAAACACTCCTCTCCCGGTCACACTGCCATTGCTTTGTAAATTTCCCAGCACTCCTCAACCCCCCACTGCCCCTTTTCATAGGTTGGCCTTATTTTCAGCACCACCATCACCCCGAAAAACAATAGAAAAAAAAATCTTCAGACTCCAAAAGCGTGTCTTGGCACATTTTCAGTAGGCTATATGCTTTTATATCACTTTAGCAGTCAAAGTATTTCCTTTTGTTATTGTTGAGGGTTTTTTTGGGGGGGGGGTTGTTTTATTTTGCTTTGTGGAGGGCATAGGACCTAAATATTTGGAAGCTACAAATGCTTCAAAAATCAGCCACCCGCTTAAGGGAAAACTGAAAAATTCAGCAGCGAAAGTGTCATCGATAAAGGGAAGTGGACAGTAAGGTTTCATATTCCCCTCGGGACCTGCACACACTTGGCTTGGAATTTTTCTAGAGCAAATGTCAGTAATGGAGTAGAAAACACAACCGTTGAGGTCTTCAGAGAAGCCAAGGGCAATCAAAGGTCTGAAAAGGAGGAGACAGGTAAATCTTAAGCTGTGTGGTTATTTGGGAAAGGATAATGAAAACCACAGGAGGAGGAGGAGGGATGGAAAGAAGGAAAATACATTCCGGGGCAGTGAAGTTATTGACGGGCCAGAGCCAAAGAACAGATAATTTAAGGAAAAAATTCTGTGGCATCTTCCATCTTACATATAAATCACTGCTCTGCATTTTCTGAACCCAAGCCTGCTCAGGGCCTGGGACAGCCGGGTGTAAACCCAACTGCAGAATCCACGACTCGTGACGTAGGAGGAGCACGTACGGACCAAGCCGGTGCGGGGAGGACGCAGGTCCTTCCGAGAAGGGAAATCACAACTGGAGATCCTGCCCGTGGTTCCGGAAAAGCAGAATTAGGCGTAGAAATGCATCAGCAACGTGGCAGGACCAAAACACTCCGAGAGGAGGAAAAGCGTAAATGTGCTCTGTGCAGACCTCGAACACAAAGATCCAACAAGGTAAAGAAACAGCCCTTACAAACTCACTCCCGGAAACCATTAATTACACTTTAAAAAGAAATCGGAGTTTACTTAAAAAGGAGTTCGAAGACAATGCTACATAATTAATTTACCAATTTATTTTATGAAAAGATGCTTTGCTACGGTTAAAATGTAATCACAACCTTCATGCTGAACAGCGTTCGAGGGAGAGGCTGGATTCCTGCGAGAGGTTTGTCAGAACGTAAAAGGTAATTATTCGGTGCCTCCTTCCCTTTAACGATCTAACATTGAGCAATACTGTTTATATTGAAAAGCTCGCACCTTTAATTACCAATTACATATACATAATTTCAGAGCCAAAGGAGAGGACTAGGCAAACAGTTCTTTAGAAATATAAGGATGTATTGTGCACCATTTCTAGAAAAGGAGCTCTAATAAATGGGAGGAGGATGTCAAAATATTGTTTGGTTAAAAAAAAAAAAAAAAAGAAGCACAAAGGAAGTGAGCTGAAAAGCAAAAAAGGACAAAATGAAATTGAGAATTCAAATGAAATAAGGGTGAGGTGCAGTACCTGGTAGGGTTTAAATGCCACCCCTGAGCAGGCTGGCAAGCCGCCTGCTTCACAGAGCCCTGGATCAAAACAACAACAAAGCCACACTCCCGACCTGGTCATCCTTCCCGAGGAGGTCCCTTTTGTCTGTTCACTGAATCTTCAGTTGACTTTTTATTGTTTTTTATTAAACTTTTTCAGCTATCTCTGGCCCCCCGGGTAGGCGTTCTAACAAGCATGAGCATCTAGCTCCTCTCTGCTAGGAGTTGGAAGCTTCGAAACTTGAAATGCATTTTGTAATTCAAAAGAAACACAGACTAATTTTAAAAATTAGCAAAGGTCCCCTCCACCTATTGCCAAGCATCCTCTCCGTCTCCGGTCCCTCTCTTCTGCCAAGACTGTACCAGCGCTTCTTTTGGCACTTTTTTTTTTTTTTGGTAACATCTGGTATTCTTCCCTTTCTCTGGCAGTCTCTGCCTTTTCACTCCCCTCGTGCAGCAGGCCCTGGGAGCCCTGGTAATTGAGTCTGGACATCCCAGTGCTGGTTACTGTGCTGCAGGTGTGATTTCACCACCAAGGCTGCTCACAGCCACCCAGCCTGGGGGCCAAGCCTGCCGGGTCCCGGGACAGCCTGGGACCGTCCAGGTTCAGCTCTGAACTCTGGCCTCCGCCTCCCCACACTGAGCTCCAACTCAGGGGTTCTAAGGGAGTTGGGAGGAAAAGGAATCAGACCCCCTCCCAAAAAAAAGCTTCCTTCCCCTCCCACTTTCAGCACTGAGAGTAAAACTCCCAAAGATGACAGTGTGTTCACCCTGCCAACTCCTAAGAACGGGTTTCCTCTCCACCCCCCACCCAGGCTGTGGGGCTCTAAGCTTTGACCTGCTGTGTGTGACACTTCCAAAGAAGGTGGCAAGGTCGGCCCCCGTGTTCAGGCAGCAGGCAACCCTAAAATCACCCAACTTCTGGGTCACAGCAGGTGGACCAGCTCTGGGCCTGCAAGCTCAGGCTGGAGGCCTCCAGAGACGCCCGGAACACTGGTTTCATTTCCGCTGACAGGCGGATACCGGGCTTGGTGTGTAGGGTGTGTGTGTGTTTGTGTGTGTGTGTGTGTGTGTGTGCGCGCGTGCACCCATGTGTGCTGTAGGGTGTGTGTGTGGCCCTTTCTGGAACTGTATCAATAAGAAAAGGAGAAAGTGCCGAATGCCCACACCCTGAAAGACACACGAGTCTGGGTGCCTCCAAGGACCAGGCCTCGGCTAGGACAGGCAGAGTCAGACCTGCCTCCCAAAGAGGAGAAAGCTCCAGGAAAAAGGCAAATCCCCCAGTCCCTCCTGCAGCCTCCTCCAGCAAACCCCAGCTTTCAAAGCAGGCAGAGATGGGGTCTTCCCCTGAGATGCTGTGTGCTTCCTTGAGCAGCTCCCCAAGTGCCAGGCAGCCCTGCAAAACATTCCTGTTCTCCACATACTACCAGCTGAATAAAGTAGAGCAGTCACTAAAACGTTGACTCATTAGGAGGAAAAATGAATGGATACAGCAGGCGACCTGCTCAAATGTCAGATATCAGACAACTAGGGAGAGCTCTGAAATGTTAAATCCTAAAGTGCAAGAACAAATATATATTTACACATACACACACGCATGCACACGAGTTAGATTTTCTTTTACAACAAAACCACATTTTATTTACAAGGCTGGGCCTCCTCCCAGCTGGTAAACGCATTTAGAAGCAATGAAATCAGGCTTCACAAATAATAATGGGCATCATGGTTAAGTGGAAGGGGAAGCACTTGATCCTAAGACAAACTTCCCCGTGTCTCAGTTCTGCTGAGAAGGAATTTGGGGCAGAAGACAGAAATGGAAAGATACCCAAATGCTGGTAGCTAGCAAGCTCCCAGCTGCTTCCAGGGTTCAGCAAGGCCTTACCCAGCCAGAGAGTCCCTCACACGCAGGGCTCCAAGCACCTGCCTGCCCTGGTCCATCTCTACAAATGCCCCTGCACCTTCCTTCCGGGCATTCCAGCCAAGAGGTCAGCCACCTGCTGTCCCCAGACCCAGGGTGTGTACCCTGCTGCAAACACAGCACATGAGCCCCTCCTGTTCCCCTTCGCCTGCATCGACTCAAATCCAAATGTCTGTCTATAACCGCTAACCCACAATCCGGGAGAAATACATGCAGAATTATTGTTTCCGTGATGGGGGAGGGGACGGGGAGGGTGGGGGAGGGGTGCCGGGCTCTTAAAATGCTGTGCCACCAACGTCACAGCCGCCATCATGATGTGTACGCGTGTTTACAAGAAACGTTCCGCATCCATCCGCCCAGCTCTGCATCCGACTGGCGACTTTACACCTGCTTCCTACAAAGACAGAGCCTTTGCCAGCAAGCCCATGCTTACCAATAATCCGAAGAGGAATCTTTTCATTCTCCTCCCCGTGAGCATGAACATTCGGGGAGGGGCTGGGACTCCGGCTGACACTGAACCGGCACCAACCCGCGCACCCGTCGGAGCACAACACTTTCTGAGCTGCCATCAATTTTTAATTTATTGGATCCAAGGGAAAATAACAAGCATGGAGAGGGGAAGGAGAGGGGAGGCTGGGAGAGAGCAGGAATCAATTCTTGGTGGAGAAAATAATCTACGGCTAGATGACGCTTAAAGGTACGACAAGAGATTTTATGAAGTGCTCCCCA